AGACTCCATCCTCAGGCAGGTAACTGCTCTGCCGATAGCATTGTGGAAGAGTTGGAAATTGTGTCAGCAAGGCCAAGTGCCAGCTCACTTATTTCTAGTTTGGAAATTTTGCCTAAAGATTTGAACAATGGGGAACCAGCAGTTAGCGTAATGGCTATGTCGCTGGACTCCCACGTAGTCGACCACGGTTCGCATCCCGGACCCAGTGGCTTAGAACTCACTCCGGGCACATGTGCGTGCGTGCCCAGGATCCTGAGAGGAGAATGGAGGAGAAGGGATTGCGGCGTGACCATCCCCCCTGGGGGGGTGATTTCTCGCTTTCTGTTTCTTTGTCTCTCTCTGTCCGTCTGGCGAGCGCATGCGCCCTATAGCGAAGAAAGAAAGAAAGAAAAAAAAGATTTGAACAGTGGACGCACCCCCCACCCACCAATTAAGAGAGCAGCATGAATCCATTTCAGGTCCTCTGAATAGAAAAGTTTGTGAAAATCCATACGTCTGGATTCGGTTGGCGTTCTCGGCTCTTCCTTGTTAAAGGCAGTCGCCGGTACTGCCAGTGTATCACAGAGATGGCTGCTAGGTGCGTGGCCTCTGGCAGGAGGGCACGGCAGCGACGGACTCACAGCAGGCGTTTACGTCTCTCACCCAGCCAGCCTTGCCAGGGCACGCCGGAGACTTTCTGGCCTTTTTTCAGTTCGCTATAGGGCACGTGTGTTTGCCAGAGAGAGAAAAGGAAAGTGAGACAGCGCCCCCGGGGAGGATGGCCACCCCACAGTCCCTCTCCATTCTCCTCTCAGGGTTTTGGGCATGTACACACAAGCGCTGGCGTGTTTCTCAAGCCACCGGGTCTGCACCTTGAGCCGCATAGTTGGCCATGTAGGATCTATCTAGCTTAACCACCATGCCACAAGCTGGCCTCACTGTAGCTTCTTTTAAGCATAGTTCAGTAGTGTTAAATATTTTCACGCTGCTCTGCAGCTGGTATCTATAACTCTTCTCATGTTGTAAAACTGAAACTCTATTACGCCTTACTCCCGTCCCCTCCTCCCAGCCCCTGCGACTGCCGTTCCACTTCCTGTCTCTAAGTTTGACTGCTCAGAACTCACGTGAGTGGAGTCGGATGGCGTTTTTCTTTTTGTGACTGGCTTATTTCATTCAGTGTGATGTCCCCGAGGTTAATCCATTCTAGCATACGTTAGAACTCTACTTCTTGGGGCCATTAGGTGGCAAAGTGGTTATAGTGCTGGACTCCCTGACCATGGTTCAAGTCTCGAACCTGGTGGCTTGAAAATCACACTGAACATGTGCGTTTGTGTACCCAAAATACCAGGAGAAAAATGGAGAAAGGATTGTGGGGTGTCCATCCCCTGGGGGGATAATTTCTCAGCTTTCCTCCCACTGTCTCTTTCTTCTCATGTGCCCTATGGCAAAAAACCTTAAAAAAAAAAGATTTCCCAGTTCTTCAAGGCTGAGTTGTATTTCACGTATGTTTAGTTGGCCTTCTGTACCCACCAATTATCTGTAGATTCAGCCAACCACAGTGCAGCCTTGCCCTGCCAGTTGTTACAATGAGGGAAAAGGTGACTCCTTTAAAAAGAGTTGCTGGGGCCAGTTGGTGGTGGTGTGGTGAAGGCACTGGACTCCCATATGGATGACTGCAGTTCAAGTCTCAGATCCGGCAGCTTGTTTTCTTTCTTTTTTTAAAAATTCAACATTTATTTACTTATTTGACCAGAGAGGGACAGACAGAGAGAGCGTGTGCAAGGAAGTGAGAAAACAGGCTACCAGGTTTGGGACTTGAACCATAGTCAGCCATGTAGGAGTCCAGCATCCTTAACCACCAAGCCACCTGCTGGCCCCCAACAGCTTGTTTTTATACTCTCTCTCTCTCTCTGGTCAAATTAAATAATAATAAAAATAAATAAATAAAATAATTATTTTTAAAAAAATTCTTTATTTAATTTCAGTTATTATTATCATTTTTAAAATTTGACCAGAGAGAGAGAAAGGGAAAGTGAGAAAGCAAGCCGCCAGGTCCAAGACTCAAACCAAGGTCGACCATGTAGGAGTCCAGTGTCTTAACCACCACGCCACCTGCTGGCCCCAATGAAATAATTCTTTAAAAAAAAAAGAGAGAGAGAGCTGCTGAGGGGCCAGCAGTTGGTGTGGTGGTTAGAGCACAGGACTCCCATACAGCTGACTGTGGTTAGAGTCCTGGACCTGACAGCTTGCATTCTTACTCTCCCCCATCCCCACAATCTCTCTTTGGTTAAAAATTAACGTGAATAGGGACCAGCAGTTGTCTATGCTGCTGGTCCCATGTAGTCAACCGTGGTTCGAGTCCAGGGACCAGCAGGTGGTGTAATGGCCATGTTGCTGGACTCCCATGTAGTTGACCGCAGTTCAAGTCCTGGACCCAGTAGCTTAAACTCACTCCGGGCGTGGGGTCAGCAGTTGGCGTAATGGCTATGTCACTGGACGCCCATGTAGTCAACCACAGTTTGAGTCCCAGTTTAAACCGGTGGCTTAAATTCACACCGGGCATGCCCAAGATCCTTAGAGGAGAAAGAAGGAGAAGGGATTGTGGCGTGCCCATCCCCGTAGGGGGTGATTTCACGCTTTCTCTCTCTCTGTCTTTCTGGTGAGCGCATGCGCCCTATTGCAAAAACCTCTCCGGAAAATAAAAACAAAACAAAACAAAACAAAAAACAAACATGATTTATTTGTTCTTTTCTTTTTTTTTTAATTTTTAATTATAGAGCACCTAAGTGCACAGAAGAGAGGGGGTGGGTGGGAAGTGTGTCCTCAACAGGGTCTCACAGCCGTAGTCCCCTTCCCCAGCCCCCAGCTGTCAGCCTCGTGGGCGTGTGTGCAGGCTCAGCCTGTTTGCCGACCGTCCTGGAGAGCTAAGCCCGGGTCAGCTCTGCACCTCCCACCAGTGCACTGCAGTTCCCTGCCAACTGAACCCCAGCCTGTGTGGCCTTTTTTTTTTTTTTTTTTTTTTTGTGGGTTTTTGTGTTAGGGGGGGTGGGTTCCGCGGGC